TGCGGCTGCGGTGGTGGTGGCGAGGCTCGTGCTGGCAGCGGCGCTCAAGAGAGAGGCGTCCGTTGACACGCCACCACCACTGCCGCTGGCGTCGAAGTCGTCCGAGTACGACGACTCGGTGGCCACGGCCACATCCGCCGCAGCGGAGGACGTGGAAGAGGAGGGGCTGCCGCGTCGCCCATCTGACGAGGCGGCGCCGCTCGCATCTTCCGCCCCTTCTTGCTGCTGCTTCGTCACTGGGACATAAATGACGCGCATGTATGGTTGTGGCTCCTCAGGTGGGCGCACCACATCCGCCGGAAGTGTCTTCTTCTTTTCCGCCGCTGGCAGTGGCGGGGCGCTCCCACGACGTGACGCGTTGGCACTCTCTCTTGTGTACGACTCCAGCACCCGCTCCAAGAGAGTGCTGGTGCTGCTTTGCTCCGGCCGCAGCTTTGCCGACGATAGCGAGGAAGAGAGCGGATGTGGCAATGCAATCGGGCCGCCACTAGCTCTGACAGCAGCGGCAGTAGTACTGCTGGCCACAGGGGCGGAAGCAGCAGCCGCAGCAGCAGCATCTTCAAAAGATGACAGCGCCCGTCTCTGCAACGCCGACGCGATTCGCGCCGTCCGCTGCTCTGTTTGGAAAAGAGAAATCTCCCCACACAGCACGTCCAACTGCTGCATAGATTCGTTCAGGCCCCGATGCACTTCCATCTGCTCGCGAAACCGTCGATCGAGCTCCCGCATCACTTTCCGAAACGGCACAGCGGGTCTCTCCGCCACGTGCAAGTCACTTGGCTCCGCAGCGGCATCAAGCGGCGGCGACGACGCGACCCCCTGCTGCTCGTGCAACAACGGGGATGACGGTTCCCGGCTGCACGGCTCCGCAGTGACGGCAGCAACTTCCAACGGCGGGGTGCCCAAGGATGGCCTCGCGACTGCATGTTCGCAGCGAGGGTGCATGTGCTGCGGCGCGTCATGCCGGTGGCGGTGTGGAACGGGCGCGGCCGCCTCACCAAAGAGCTGCGTGAAGAGTGGAGTATTGGCCGCGCTGAAGCATGTGTCTTGTCGGTACATACCTTTTGGCATACAACAGGAGGTAAGGAAACATGTGTTGAAAGTGAGCTTCAAAGAGTTCAACATGATGTGATGCGATAAGCAAATGCTCTCGCACAGCACTCTGCGCATGCGCGTAGCAAAACCACTGCGATGCGAGCACTCCAGGCCGGCAGCAGTCACATTAATTGCCAACCACGTTGGCATCGCCGCTCTCTCACCAGAGTACCACGACGCCTTCAGGTGCTGCTGCTGATTTTGTTCAGTTCGGTATCACCAGGCACCCACTAAAAACCCTGCAGCCACGCCAGCCCCGTCCAGCAGCGAGAGGGAGAGAACACTGCAACTCCCCTTGCTGTACAGGCAGTCCACACAGCCAATCGTACCAAATCATGTTCCAACCTCGCGCCCTCAGCAGCAGTAAGCCAGTTTGTTTCGCGCAGGCCACACGCTTTCACCTCAGTCATAACCGCAGAGACGCAGCAATCCCCCGTCACTTTGTGAACGCCACTCTTCACTCAGCACAGCCTCACCACGTTTTCAGCCCTCACTCCCTTACTCAACTGCGTGCCTAAATGCAAGCCACCACTCAGCGCTCACAAGCACTTTTAATTGCTATCACCGCTTTTTTTGTGTGTTGAACAGCCAGATAGAGCCATCGTAGCGTGCCGCACACCTCGCACCCCTGGCGCACACGCTTTCAAATCACCTAAAGTGCCTTCAATTGGACAGCACAGCAGCTCACAGGATGCGGCTCTGCGTGAGTGAGAAACGGAAGAGAGAGGCACACGGGCAATCTCACGCACACAGAATTAGGGGATCAAGAGAGAGAGAGAGAGAGAGCAGCAGCCCACACACACACACAGTGAGAGAGCACATCAGAGCACAACCCAAAGTAAACCAGTAAAAGAAGAAAAAAACAATGAATTAGGAGAAAGGCCCATAGTGCCACAGAAAAAAAAATCCCAAAACAAAGAGGAAACGGCAATGCGCATTGATCCGACAGCCCTGCACGAGTACATGGGTGCACGTACATTATTCTGTCGAAGGCAGAGGATGTGGCATTGTGTCCGCAGAGGGACAGCAATTAGAAAAGAAAAAAAGAAGATAAGAACCCCGTTCACAAAGCAAGATGTAATTAATAGGGATTCAGCGTAGTCTCAGGGACGCACGGCTAATCACACGGCAGCGTATGCCGCAACCACAAGAAACAGGGATGCGCAAACCCACATGTGAAACCCAGCGCCGTCCCGTCCCGCCATATCAGCAGAGCCAGGCACGTCGGGTTGCATCTTTATAACGCGCGGCACCATCACATCAGGGAGTGGCTTGGCGACTTCAGTAATGCTCAGCTCCTTAAGTGCACTCAACGATACATCCACAACGATCCCAGCATTGTGCAGAACAATGTTAGCTTTTTTAATAGCGGTCCACTCGGAAGACTGGATTGTCTCCATTTGGATAAACGCCTCCTCACGTTTCGCCTCCCCTTTGTTCAGGTCGGCTAATACCTTGTCGTGCGCCAACTTCGAAACTGTATTGATTTCCTGCAACGATCCGAATTCACGATCGACGGCTCTCTTCGCAGAGTGGGCAGGGTAGAGCACATCTCGCGCCCTGCGTGCCTCAAGCGAATCAGCTGTTCCTCCACTACCGCCAGAACTCTTAGTCTCTGCGGCATTAATACGGCCACTCGCTTTTTTATACAGCCGCGTAGCCTCAGCTGAGGCCTGCTGTGCCCTCTTCAAAGCCTCTTGGATCACTTTCATTCCCTCGTCAGCTTCACTTCTTATTTTCTCGGCGGTATATTCTGCAGGCACATCAATGTCACTCAGTAACTGAGGCTGCAGCGGCGAGGGCAGTTGGGCTCTGATGCCAGGCACCTCATTCTGCTGCACCGCCGCCACGCACCCGCAGGCGCAGCACAGGGCGAGGGAAAGCACAAACAGCACGTGGCGCACCGTCACCGTCATTACTTCACTTCAGGTCGCTGGTCTGCGCGGCGGAGAAAAGGGAGAGAGAGAGGGGTGACGGACAGTTAGACACACACAGACACACAGTGAGAAGGCACAGCAGAGCACCAACCAAAGTCAACCAGTAAAGCAGTAAAAGAAAAACAATGAATTAAGGGACAAGCCCATAGCCCCACAGAAAAAAAAATCCATACACTCCGAAACAAAAAAGAAGGAGTTGTGCCTATGATATTATTGCCCATGCATGTGTATATGTGTGGGTGCATGTGTTGCATCCGGTTGACGGCAGAAGATGGGGCACCGAGCCCAGTTTATGGAAGTGATGAAAAGAAGCAATATGTTTTAGTTGCTCGAAAAAGCCAACAAAGAAAGCAAACCAGAATTAAGGGGTATCCGTCGTCACCCCGTGGCTCCACTGCTCATCACACAGCACCGCAGGCCAGCGTAGCCAGCACCACCAGCAGCAGTGGGGCACACACCAACGTGTGANACAGCACCGCAGGCCAGCGTAGCCAGCACCACCAGCAGCAGTGGGGCACACACCAACGTGTGAGTGTCGCTGCCGTCCGCCCCCACATCACTGCTGATGCCCGCACCAATCGACTGGGCGTTGTGTGTAAACCCCGCTGCAGTCTCAGGTGTGCCTTCGCCTCCGGCAGGCCCCTGCGCACTCTGCCCATTGGCGGGGCCCTCGCTTGCAGGCACCGACGCTGTTCCACCAGACTCGCTGGATTCTGCTTCTGCAGCATTCGATGTTTCACCGCCCTCTGCATCCATTTTTGTTGCATCGGTATTCTCTGCCACAGAACCCTCTTTGCTTCTCTTTTCTTCCACTGCATGCTTGGCTTCGCTCTGAGACGGAGCTTCATGTGATTGTTTGCTATCAGGGAGCCGTTCCTTAACACCTTGCTTCCCATCGTCTGCAACAAACCCGTCTTGCGAGTTCCTCGTACCAGCATCTGCGGCATGCTTACCAAATTCACCAGCGTCTTGCTGTGGGTTGTTAGCCGTGGACCTCGGTTGTTTAGGCCTCTGGTGATCTCGCTGCCTTGTTGATCCTCGATTATGGCGTGGCTTAGACGGTTTCTTAGCAGCCGTTTTCGTTGCAGTATTCCTCGCTTTTTCAGCATCACTTGCTGCCTTTTCCGCATCTCCAGCATCATCCTTTGCTTGTTGAACAAGAGACTGTGCATTTTCTGCTTCCGTTTTCGCCTTTTCCAATCGTTCTTTAGTTACACTTGTTTCAGCACCTCCCACACCTTGGTCACGTAAGACTTCAATCGCTTTGACGTGTGCGTCCACCGCGGAGACTGCAGCAGCAACCTGTTGTTGACTACCTTTGGCTCTTTCCACCGCTTCTTTAGCATCCCAGTTTTCACTTCCTTGGTTGCCCATCCCCTCAATTGCCTCCTGTGCCGCCGTAGCATCCTGCACTGCCTTCTCCGCTTTTTTAAATTCGTTCCTTACCTCCTCTAAGGCACGTTGTGCTTTCGATAAAGAGTCTGCTATGGTCTTCCTTGCCCCTTCCTCACCTTCATTCAGTACCTGAGGCTGCTGCGCCGCCGCCACGCACCCGCAGGCGCAGCACAGCGCGAGGGAAAGCACAAACAGCACGTGGCGCACCGTCACCATCATTACTTCGCTTCAGGTCGCTGGTCTGCGGGGCGGAGAAAAGGGAGGGAGAAAGAGAGATGACGGACAGTTAGACACACACACACACACAGTGAGAAGGCACAGCAGAGCACCAACCAAAGTCAACCAGTAAACCAGTAAAAGAAGAAAAACAATGAATTAAGGGACAAGCCCATAGCCCCACAGAAAAAAAAAACCATACACTCCGAAACAAAAAAGAAGGAGTTGTGCCTATGATATTATTGCCCATGCATGTGTATATGTGTGGGTGCATGTGTTGCATCCGGTTGACGGCAGAAGATGGGGCACCGAGCCCAGTTTATGGAAGTGATGAAAAGAAGCAATATGTTTTAGTTGCTCAAAAAGCCAACAGAGAAAGCAAACCAGAATTAAGGGGTATCCGTCGTCACCCCGTGGCTCCACTGCTCATCACACAGCACCGCAGGCCAGCGTAGCCAGCACCGCCAGCAGCAGTGGGGCACACACCAACGTGTGAGTGTCGCTGCCGTCCGCCCCCACATCACTGCTGATGCCCGCACCAATCGACTGGGCGTTGTGTGTGGGCCCCGCTGCAGTCTCAGGTGTGCCTTCGCCTCCGGCAGGCCCCTGCGCACTCTGCCCATCGGCGTGGCCCTCGCTTGCAGGGTCCGCCACTGCTCCACCAGACTCGCTGGACTCTGCTGCTGCAGCATTCGATGTCTCACCGTCTCCCGTATCCGTTTTTGTTGCATCGGTATTCTCTGCCAAAGAACCCTCTTTGCTTCTCTGTTCTTCCACTGCATGCTTGGCTTCGCTCTGAGACGGAGCTTCATGTGATTGTTTGCCATCAGAGGGCTGATTATTGCCATCTTGGTTCTCAGTGCCTGCAACGAACTCGCCTCGCTGGCCCTCGCTATGAGCAGCTGCGGCACGCTCAACTAAATGACCAGTCTCTTGCTGTGGGTTCTTAACTTCGGAACTCTTTTGTCGTAGCTTCTGGCGGTCTCGCGGTACTGTTGTTGTTCTTTGTCCAGAAGGTCCCCCGGACAGTCTCTTCGCAGCCTTGGTCTTTGCAGTATTCCTCTTTTTTTTCGGCATCACGGGCGGCCTCTTCCGCTCTTTTAGCATTATCCTGTGCTGTTTCCATATAAATCCGAGCTCTGTCCGCCGCCTTTTTAGCTTTGTCCAACTTGTCAGCGTTACTTAGTGGTTCGTTATTTCCACCCTGTGTCGCTTGCAGGCCTTGAATCTCTTTGACAGCTTCTTTCACCCCCTCCATTGCATCAGTAGCTGCTTTACTTTCTGTCGTGGCCGTATCGACTG